TGGCTCAGATACTTCCCTCTTTTCTCTACACAGGTAGCCACATGCTGAGCTTTTCCTACTCTAGAGAGCACGGTGCAAGGATCTCCAGTCTGTTGGGCACCTACTAAATGTCATATCTGTATACGTGCAATGATTTATCACCTTTTATAGTTGTAGAATCTGAGGCTCAGAGAGATCGGATTGCTTGTCTGAGGTCACACTGCTGTTGGTATTGCAGCTAGGAGTTGAACTCAAGACGTGTTTTGGCAAAGCCGTCCTCTTTCCATACTTACTGTTAAATTGTTTTGTTTTGTTTTGTTTTGTTTTCTTAAACCAAGTGTAGTCCCAACAACGTTGAACAGCGTTTAGGTAGGTAAAAGCTTTGAGGGGACCTTTTAGGGTTTTGATGAGACTTCTTAACAGATATGCATTTCTCAAACATGACAACGTAACATTCATATTAAACATAAAACTTGGTATTTCTTTAGAATTTTTCATACGTTTCTGCATCGTAGTGCATGTGTTTGCCTGAGACATATTAGTCTTTCAGGAAATATTTGAAGACAGAAAGGCAGGATGAGAGGAGAGGAAGGCGGTGGGGATGTGTGGCGTGCTGGTGGGCTCTGTGTGGGGTGGGGGATGCCTGCTACCCTGAGCCTGAGAGCTGCAGAGCTGACTCAGGACCGGTACATCCTCGCTGCTTTAGCGTGCTTCTATCGCCACCTAGCCACCTCGGGGAGAAATGCCCTCTCTGGGCAAGTCCGTCCAGACTTCCCCTGAATGTTCTTTGCCCACTTACAGGTGGGTACCTTTAGACCATGAAACTTGGAGAGTCCTTAGTCCTTCCCACAATGGACGCCTGTGCGCCCTGTCTTTTTTTTTAATTAGTGGCTTGCTTTAGCAGTTGATTCCAAGGCTTATTACATTTAAAGAGAAATTTTTGAAAATTGGTATCACTGAGGATCGGTACCATTAAGGCTTCTCCGCACAAAAGAAGGGGATTGTTACTCCTTTGAGAGCCCTCTCCTGTGGGAGTGCCTGACACTGCCATGGACCCTCCCCGTGCACATGTCCATATCCAGATCAAATGTGGTCTCCATGAAACCTGTGAAGCAACAGCTTCCATTTAATCCACACTTGCCGTGTGCTGGGGGCTTTATGAGTGTTTTCTCATGTAATTCTCACAGAAATCTTCTGAGGTAGGTATGGTTAAGGGCACCGAGGCACAGTGAGGTCCTGGAGCTGGTCCATGGCAAAGCTGGGATTTGAACCCGATTGGTCTCTTCCCCAGGCCTATGACCCTCCTGTCATCCAGCGTCTCTTGATTTCCCCAGCCAAAGTGTCATCTCCCTGCTCTGCAAGCACTTCATTTCTGTCTCCTAATGCCATTCAGATTATATTTTCTCTTTCTCTAAATCAGAGGCTCCAACTCCAGGAGGGACATCATCCTCTGCTGTGTTGTGTGTGCACACACAGGTTCTCACTTGAGGTGGTTACTCAGTTCATTCGTCCAGGTTGTGAAATTGCAGCAGCTTCAATTTGTTGTTCTATTTCAGTCATTCTGAGGTGGTGTCTCCCAAGGTATATCTAAGGATCCCTGGTGTCAGACAATAGCCCAGGGAATTGTTATTTGCATTCAAATCTGTTCTCATAGGAGGAGGATGGTCACCTAATGGTGCTCTATATAACAAAGGCAGACATGGAATTGACCACTGAGAGAGGAAGAGAGAGCTGCAGCCAGACTGGAGGCAGGACCACCTGGGAACAGTGGGTCTTGGTTCACATATTTTGAGGAAACTGATCAGCAGGCAGGGAGCAAAGAGTTCCGTCAGCTCCATCCTGGAGCAGGCTGAGTAGAGGCATCAAGGAAAACAATCTCACTGGTTTGCTGACTCTTCTTTTTTTTTTTTTTTTTTTTTTTTTTTGAGACATAGTCTCGCTCTGTCACCCAGGCTGGAGTGTGGTAGCGCAATCTCAGCTTACTGCACCCTCTGCCTCCTGGGTTCAAGTGATTCTCCTGCCTCAGTCTCCCAGGATTACAGGTGCTAGGAGGCTGAGGATTACAAGCGTCCCCCACCCACGCCCAGTACTGTAAAAGTGCTGGGATTACAGTCCTCCACGACCACGGCCAGCTAATTTTTGTATTTTTTTTTTAGTACAGACAGGGTTTCACCATGCTGGCCAGACTGGTCTCGAACTTCTGACCTCAGGTGATCCGCCCACCTTGGTCTCCCAAAGTGCTGGAATTACAGGCATGAGTCACTGCACCAGGCCAGGCTTGCTGACTCTTGGGAGTGTGGCTATGTTGTAAGTGACAGGCTGTCCCGGGTTCTCCACCTTCAGCCATCGTCACCATCCTGCATGAGGTTCCTCAGCAGGGGACTGAGCACTCTCAGGTCGCTGCTGGGACATGCAGAGGAAAGCAAGACCATCATGTCAGTATGGGAAAAGTGAAGAGTGAGGCCCAGGACTCTGAGAGAAAGGAGTCCTGGCCCAGAGGTTGTGTGAGGAGAGCGTGGGATAAATGAGGTGCCCAAAAGCAGAGTTTGGGGTGATTAGATAGGAAATTAAAGATTGGTGGGTGGAAGGAAAGGAAAGAAATAACAGGGGTAGACAGAAAAATTCACAATAAGAATGACCGTGGGCATGGGACACAGGCCAGTCAGACAGATTGTCAGACACCTGGAGAGGTGCCCAGCAGCTTGGAGCCCTCGGGAGCTCAGGGCACCAGCTACTGACCAGGACGGAGCAGCCCGGGGTCTTACCCACCGCTGCTCTCACGGGGCGCACACTGGCTGAATGTCTGCACGGGGTATAGGCAAGAGGAGAGAGAAACGTGAATATCTGAGGTCACCAAAGGACATGCACGCCAGTCAGTGACAAAAGGGAACGTGGCACAGCATGGAGGAGCTGCCCTTAGGTCAGATCAGGCTCCTATCATCGCCACCGGTGACCCTCCCTGCCGGGGAAGGTGGCCCTGCCAGCGAGCACCTGTCCGGCTGGCTGAGCGGCAGCCCACGTGTCCGGGGCAGGGTGGCCAGCTGGCCAGCTGGGCCAGAGCCCAGAGTGCTGAGGCTCGCAGGCTGATCTCGGCAGTCCTGTGCCCTCGCATCAGGCCACAGCCCACAGGTGGCTCTTCCTGCATGCTGGAGGAAACACAGAATCCCTGCCAGCAGAGAAGGAGCGGCCCAGCCACTTGCCTGTGGGTTTCATGAAATGTGCGACTCTGATCTCATACCCCTTAGAATTTCTAGTAAAAGATCCAGAATGTCTGACTTCCCAAGAAGGAACCTTCATGGGAAGGAATAGGCGGGAACGTTTTCAGAACCAGTTCCTCAATTTCTCCAGGTTCCAAAAAGCTGCAAGACCATACTCACCTCCTCTTCAGGGTCTCCACATCCCCTGAATATCATATTCAGCTGTTGTTCCCATCACGTCTTGAGTAAATTTTTGTGGCTGTTTCTAATTATTCCCTCTGCCTGGGGAGTTCATTTTGCATCACAGTGTTACTTTGGGCCATCTAAAACTATTTCCATCTTACCATATGTGTTCGGCTCTCACTAATTGGGGAAAGTTATTTTTAGTATTTCCTCTTCTTTCCATCTTTGCAGATTTGCCCTATTTAGGGGGAAAAAATCCTGAAACAGTTTCGTGTTTTTTAGAGACATACCAGAGATGCTTTTAAAGTTCTACAAGCAACATTTTCATGTGGTGTATGCCTGTAGTCCCAACTACTTGGGAGGCTGAGACAGGAGGATCACTTGAACCCAGGAGGCGGAGGTTGTAGTGAGACAAGATCATGCCACTGCACTCCAGCCTGGGCAACAGAGTGAGACTCTATATCAAAAAAAAAAAACAAAAACAAAAGCAAACAAACAAAACTTAAACATATTCTCACCATAAAATACAGCAATTGCACTCCTTGGTATTTACCCAAAGGAGTTGACAACATACCCACACAAAAACCTGCATGCAGACATTTATAGCAGCTGTACTCATAATTGCCAAAACCTGGATGCAAACAACATGTCCTTAGATGAATGGATAAATATAAACCATGGTACATCTAAACAATGGGATATTATTCATCACCAAAAACAAATGAGCTATCAAGCCATGAAAAGATATGGAGGGGCCGGGCGCGGTGGCTCAAGCCTGTAATCCCAGCACTTTGGGAGGCCGAGACGGGCGGATCACGAGATCAGGAGATCGAGACCATCCTGGCGAACACGGTGAAACCCCGTCTCTACTAAAAATACAAAAAACTAGCCGGGCGAGGCGGCGGGCGCCTGTAGTCCCAGCTACTCCGGAGGCTGAGGCAGGAGAATGGCGTAAACCCGGGAGGCGGAGCTTGCAGTGAGCTGAGATCCGGCCACTGCACTCCAGCCTGGGCGACAGAGCCAGACTCCGTCTCAAAAAAAAAAAAAAAAAAAAAAGAAAAGATATGGAGGAACTTTAAATGCATGTTAGTATGTGAAGGAAGACAATCTGAACATCTTCTATGGTTCCAACTATATGATATTCTGGAAAAGGCAAAACTGTGGAGACAGTAAAGGAATCAGTGGTTGCCGGGGTTAGCAGGGAGGGAAGGATGAACAGGTGGGGCACAGAGGACGTTTAGGACAGTGAAAATACTCCCTACGAGACTGTAATGGTGGATATGTGTCATTATGCAATTGTCCAAATCCATAGAATATTTAACACCAAGAGTGAAGCGTAATGTAAAATATCAACTTTGCATAATGATATCTCAATGTAGTTTCATCAGTTGTAGCAAATGTACCATTCTAGTAGGGAATGTTGACAACGGGGGAGGCTGTGGGTGTGTGGGGTGGCAGTATATGGGAAATCTCTGTACCATCCTCTCAATTTTGCTGTGAACTTAAAACTTCTCTATAAAATAAAGTCTAATAAAAATAAATGTATTTTTTTAAATTAACCACCCTTTATTAAAAGACTTTGTAGGAAATTAAGCTTAACAGAGTAACTGTTACTACATTTTGGTTACTGCTCTTTTCCCCGTCTCTCTCTGTATCCTACAGGTCCAAGAAACTAACTTGGGAAAGAAGAGGGGAAGTTCTTATTTTCACATGCTGGTAAGACTTTCTAGTATTACCGTGTCGAAATATAAGCTTTAAAATTGTAGACCAGTGGTGGTGGGGGTTCTGCAAACCAGCTATTGAAAAACAAGTGGATTCGGCCGGGCGCGGTGGCTCACGCCTGTAATCCCAGCACTTTGGGAGGCCGAGACGGGCGGATCACGAGGTCAGGAGATCAAGACCATCCTGGCTAACACGGTGAAACCCCATCTCTACTAAAAAATACAAAAATCTAGCCGGGCGAGGTGGCGGGCGCCTGTAGTCCCAGCTACTCGGGAGGCTGAGGCAGGAGAATGGCTGGAACCCGGAGGGCGGAGCTTGCAGTGAGCTGAGATCCGGCCACTGCACTCCAGCCTGGGCGACAGAGCCAGACTCCGTCTCCAAAAAAAAAAAAAAAAAAAAAAAAAAAAAAACAAGTGGATTCATCTCTGCACTTTAAATAAGAGGTGATAAGTAGAAAACACAAGTAGGTTCAGAATGGACTAACAGGGCTTTTCAAATTTGAGTGTTGTATTAGTCCATTCTCACGCTGCTGTAATGACATCCCTGAGACTGGGTAATTTATAAAGAAAAGAGGTTTAATTGGCTCAAAGTTCTGCAGGTTGTACAGGAAGCACACTGCCGGCATCTGCTCAGCTTCTGGGGAGGCCTCAGGAAACCTACAATTATGGCAGAAGTCGAAGGGGAAGCAGGCATATCTTACATGGCTGGAGCAGGAGGAAGAGAGAGAGTGGGGAGGTGCCACACACTTTTAAACAACCAAATCTCGTGAGAACTCACTCATTATTATGAGAACAGAAACAGCACTAAACAGAGATATCCACCCCTAAGAGCCAATCACCTCCCACCAGGCCCCACCTTCAAGATTGAGTATTACATTTTGACATGAGATGTGGGTGGGGCACAGATCCAACCTATAGCAAATGTGTGTACAAATCACTTGGGATCTTGTTAAAAATGAAGATTCTGATTCAGAAGATTTGGGACGAGGCCGGTAATTCTGCATGTCTAGCAAGCTCCCATGTCCCAGGTGACATCCGTGCTACTGGTCCAGGAACCACACTTTGGTGGCAAGAATATGAGTCATTGTGTTATACTTAGTCTTCCTGGTATTGGACGTGAGACCTTCTTATTCGTCTTTGTATCTCCAACACTTATAAGGTGACCAACGTCAAGTTAGCACATATTTACAGAATAAATAAATCTTAGCCTTTCTTTCTCTAAAACAATGGTGAGAGCAACCCTCTCAGGTATGGATGGGATAATATCCAAAAGTATCCATGCTTCTTCAGGATTTAAAGAAGACCTTCAAAAGAAAATCTAAAGAACAAAAGTGCTCAGCATTCGGCCCATATCCACTTCCTTTTTGTAGAAATGATAGAAGCAAAAATAAAGAAAATAGCTTGGTGAGACTAGATGGTTAGATGAAAGGGTTCCAGGGAGTAAAGATGGCAAGAGCTCAAGCTAGCACACTAGAAAAAGTCTCCTTTTCCCGGGTGCCAGTTTCCAAACTATGCTTTGCAAAGAGAACTGTGATGAACATCCTTAAACACTGAATTAATGTGTGTCAGCAAAAAAATTTCCCTAAAATTGTTTTATTCTAAGGATATCAATAGGGAGTGTGCATGTCCTTTCAACAACATGCTGGAGCATTGTCTAAAAAGCCCACTGAAGATTATTTAATTCTCTAACAGAATGTCCCTGTGTTTGCCTTTAGTATTTACTATTTGAATATAACTCAGACACTGTGGAGTTCTCTGTGGCCTTATATATTTCCATCCAGTAGAAGGTCTTATTACAAAGGTTATGGTACCATTGTCCTGCACCATATGATGCAATTATGTATGTAACCTAGCAATGTTATTTAAACATCCTTTTTTAAAAAAAATTATTTCTTTAAAGAAATGATTTTATAAATAGAGATGGGGTCTCGCCATATTGCCTAGGCTAGTCTCGAACTCCTGAGCTCAAGTGATCCACCTACCTTGGCCTCCCAAAGTGCTGGCATTACAGGCGTGAGTCACCACACCTGGCCTATTTGAACGTTCTTTTAAAAATGTTACTATAACCCAGCATTTTGGGAGGCCGAAGCAGGTGTATCACTTGAGCTCAGGAGCTCAAGGCCAACCTGGGCAACATGGTGAAACCCCATCTCAATTAAAAAAAAAAAAAAAAAAAATTCCTTTGAATGCCCAGTTCCTCAAAATGCTTTCTCAACCAGCTTTACCACCTTACTGAATCTCTCACTAATGAACAAATATTTGACATATTCTAATTGTATATTTGTATGAGAGTCATGTTTTTAGCTTTTTGAAAATTATGCTTTGACAGAATAAATTACCAGAAATAGAACTTGGCTCAGAACCTCAAATATCTTCAGACCAAGAACAACTATGCTGGAGAAGCTGTATTTCCTTGACCGTCACTGAGGAGGCTCATCTGCATCTGGAATGAATTAAGATATCAGTGTCCTATTTTGACTGCATGTTCAGAAATGAGACTTTGGGAAGTCTTAGCAGAGGGTAAATGCATTTTGTATGTGTAGGGAAATATAAATAATTTTGGGTCAGTGGGCAGAGGGGTTTTTAATAATTATTTGACACCCCTCCCTTCTGTGGAGCTAATTCCCCTTCCCTTGAGTGAGTCACCTGGTGACTCATTACTAATGAATAGAATGTGGCATAAATGACAGAGCATGACTTTTTTCTTTTCCTTTCTTTTCTTTTTTTTTTTTTTTTTTTGAGACAGGGTCTCACTCTGTGGTCCAGACTGGAGTGCCATGGTGTAATCACAACTCACTCAGCTTCAACTTCCTGGGCTCAAGCAATTCTCTCACCTCAGCCTCCCAAGTAGCTGGGATTATAGGCACACACCACCACATCCAATTTTTGTATTTTCTGTAGAAACAGGGGTTTCACAGTGTTGACCAGGATGGTCTCGAACTCCTGGACTCAAGTGATCCTCCCACCTCAGCCTCCCAAAATCCTGGGATTACAGATATGAGCCACCACACCCAGCCTGACAGAGCATGACTTCTGAGAGTAGGTCATAAAAGACATTGTGACTTCCGGTTTGCTCTTTGAACACTTGTCTAAAGGAAGTCAGCTGCCATGTCTCAATGACACTCAAGTGGCCCTATGGAGGGGCCTAAAACAGCATCCTCCTGCCAACAGCCATCAAGGAACTGAGGAACTGAGGCCCTTTGCTAACAGCCGTGAGTGCACCATCATGGAAGTAGATCTCCCGCCCCTGTCAAGCCTTCAGATAACTGCAGCCCCAGCTGACTGCTCAACTGCAACCTCGTGAGAAACCCTCAGTTAGGACAACCCAGCTAAGCTATTCTCAAATTCCACAGAAACTGTGAAATAATACATGCCTTTGTTTTAAGCAACTAAACTTTGGTTAATTTGTTACACAGTAATAGACAATGAATACAGCTGGCTTATCAGGTATGTATAGTTTAAGGCTTTTCATGTAGATTGCAAAATTGCCTTCCTGAAATATTATGCCCATTTACACTCCCAGGAAGAATTGCATAAGAGTGCTCATGTTCTCAGTCCTTCCTCTTGTTAAGTGCTACATTTTTTCTTTATTCTTTCTGATATTCTTTATTCTTTCTGATAGAAAATGGTATCTTATTTTATTACTCTAATTTATATAGTTTTAAAGTTCAGTGAGGTTGAACACTTTTCATGTATTTATTATCTGTTTTCTGTATCTCTTGATCAAATGCTGTGTATATATATATATACATGGTTAAATTGTAGTGTTAATTTTTTCATTCATTGATTCCTAAGCTCTGTTTGGCTCTTAAGCATCTTATATCTGCCTATTACTATGTTGCAAGTATTTCTCTTAGTTTGCCACATAGATATCCTTATGTGGGGGACATGAAGATGTACTGCCTACAACCCTTTCAAGGAAGATTGGTGCCAGCTGTCTCTTGCCTCAGTTGCAGAGAGCTGCCTTGCCCAAGAGTATGCTCTTCCTGTGACCCATATCCATGGACCAATTGTTGTAGGGTGTAAAGGTCCAGCCATTTCAGCCCACCATGGTCCTGCTCTGGCAAGCCATTGACACTCCCGAGCTCTCCACAGGGTAGCATTACTGATCTGCATTGTAGTTCGACCACTCCCCTAGAGAAACCCTGCTTCCTTCATCTCCTTTCCATAGGTGTTGATCTCTAACAAACACGGTGCCCATCAAATTTCAACCTGGCATCTGTTTCTAGAATACCTAACCTGTGACATCCTGGAAATTAATTGCTTAATTTGTAATTGATATACTACCTATATACCTCTACACATAAATGCATTACTCTTGAAAATAATGTATTATGTTTTTTCATAGGGGAAACTGGTTCTTTTATAGAATGATTATTGGAATACAAACACAAAAAGTTGAGTGTTATTTAAAAACACAAAATCTTTCCCTATCAGCTATTATGCAAGTCATTATCTACATCATATTTCTTCAAATAAAACCACCTCCTTATGCTGCGATATGTCCCCTGTCACTTACTATCCCCCTTTATCTTGTTTTTTTTTTATTCACAGCATTTTATTTGAGTATCTTTTACATCTGTATCTGCCTCCCCAGCACCTAGAATGGAACATGGCATATAATAGGTGTTCAATAAATATTGATTGAATGGATAGATGAGTAGATCAGTAAATGAGTAAGTGACATTTGGGTAAAGGTAGATAAAGTATATCCAGACCGATACCATATTTGTCCTTCTTCTTCCAGGAAAATGAAGCACAGTATTAATTTGTCTCATATAGAAGTTGCCAAAAATATTTATTGTATGTACACAGATGTATCCAGACCACTCTAGAAACCATCTCTTCTTTGTGCTCTTCTTTCCCCCAGCCTCTCCTCTTTTTGCAGGCTGCAGGACTGCCTAGCTTCGAGGGAGCTGAGAGGAAGGCTGTATTCAGGTGATCAGGAGTGGTAACAGATGGTTGGATGCCCTCATTTTGCAGATGCCTCTATATTTGTGCTGCTTAAAAGCATTTTAACTAGCATAGGGCAAAACATGTATTATCTTTTAGTTGCAGCCCTAGTTTCTAGAATCCCGGATTAGTGCGTAGCCCCCTAAACCTCACAGTCACTAATCCACTGCGATGGCTCCTCTGCATCTGTTGATGTTGGATGCTTTCAGCCCCTAGTGAATTCTGCGTCTTTAATCTTGTTTGGTGCTGGTTTCTTTTTCCTACCATTAGCTCTTTGGATTGGAATGTGGTTGTCTCATATTTTTTTGTCAGATTCTTTACAGACAAGTAAATAAACTTGAAGAGGGTAAGTAAGGTGACACAGGAGATCTGAGATAGAGCTAGGACTTTTGCCATCTATCCTTGTCATCAAAAGCACTCATTAACCTTATTGTCATTCTGTGGCAGGGTGGTGGAACAGCACAGGTCGATTTAGAGATTCAGGACAATGGGGAACAGTCACTTTCTCCAGTTCTTTTGTGCAAACAGCTGACCTAAGAGTAAAACTTAAGCATCCAGAATGTCAGGCAAGCACAGTCTGTGTTCATATTTAAGTTCATCTATAGCATTTTTGTCACTTTTAGCTACCATTAGGATGCCTTTAAAGCAGTTATTGTCCAACAGATTTCCATTTAAAGGAAAGGATGTTTGTCATGGTAAGTAATTAAGCAATAGAACATTTCTTAGCTTCTAAGGGAAACCTTTCCAGGTTAAGTAATATGCAGAGGGGGAAATGTCATTTTTTATTCTTTTTCTTCAGAAGGAATTGATTAGACAGAACAACTACAGGAGACCCCAAATGTTGAAATCACCAGAAGGCCTTTAAATTGCATAGAATCAAATTTCTAAAAACATAATTCCACCTGTATTGTTGAAAATAGAGAGGCCAGGCACGGTGGCTCACGCCTGTAATCCCAGCACTTTGGGAGGCCAAGGCGGGCGGACCACAAGGTCAGGAGATCGAGACCATCCTGCCCAACATGGTGAAACCCCATCTCTACTAAAAATACAAAAATTAGCTGGGCGTAGTGGTGGGTGTCTGTAAGCCCAGCTACTCAGGAGGCTGAGGCAGGAGAATCGACTGAACTCAGGAGGCGGAGGTTGCAGTGAGCCAAGATCAGTGCCACTGCACTCCAGCCTGGGTCACAGGGCAAGACTCCATCTCAAAAAAAAACAACAACAAAAAAAGAAGAATTAAAGTCCGTTTTATTCAGACGTATCACTGAGGGCTACAGCCCAGAAGCAGACCTCTAGAGAGGTCCATGAAACTACACCGGCAGTGTTTCAGCTCACTGCTTATATACAGGTGTGGAGATTTTGTTTCTGCAAAATCTCATCGAACTTCCTCAGAAGTTGCATTGGGTGTAAAGTGCATTTGGTTAGAGATTACATAGGCGTAATCACTAACTTGCCAGACATGATCTTAGGTGTAGGAAAAGGCAAGGACTGGGACCATTTATCTTTTTTTTTTTTGAGACAGTCTTGCTGTGTGGCCCAGGCTGGAGTGCAGTGGCACAAACATACGTCACAGCAGCCTCAACCTCCTGGGCTCAAGCAATCCTCTTTCCTCAGCCTCCTGAGTAGCTGGAACCACACGTGTGGGCCATCATGGCTGGCTAATGTTTTTCATAGAGATTGGAGCGGGGGTCTCACTTTGTCACCTAGGCTGGTTGGTCTCAAACTCCTGGGCTCAAGTGATCATCCCGCCTCAGGTCCCAAAGTGCTGGGATTACAGGCGGGAGCCACTGCTCCTGGCCTCATTTATCTTTTGAGGAATATAGTGACTCAGGCAAGAGAGTTGGGGGTCGTGTGCTCTAGCCTGTTTGGTCCTCAAAGCATCTTTCCCCAAGAGCAGCTAGTTGCCACGGGGCTGGGGCTTTGTAACATTCTGCTGCAGGCAGAAAGCAGCACACGTGACTTCTTACATTTGCTACTTTGTCTTACATTTCTATTGTTGTAATCCCTCCAGGCCCTCTTACCCGACTTGACCTTGAGACTAATGGGTGTGTTGGAAAGAGACTGGCAAGGTCTGAGGGCACAGCCTGTGGCGGAGGTGGGGCCAGGCAGGCCCAGCCCCTCAAGCCAGGCCCTGGGGCCCAGGGCCCTGCCGGATGGGTGCTCTCTGGGAGCTGCATGCAAAGGTGCCTGGTACCCCCAACCGCGCCCCACGGGACACCTGACCTCCAGAGGAAGGAAATGAGTCTGGAGACGCCGTAGACGAAAGAGACGCCGCTTCCTCCGCCTGGGATCACTCACAGATGCCTCAGGGAGGCGGCCGGCCCTGAGTCACGCTGAGCGCTGAGCGGGCTGTGACTCAGCGGGACCGCGGCCCCTTGGCTGCGCCTGGGTTGATGTGCGCCCCGCTTGTTTTCTGCAGAAGACAAGGCCGTCTCGGATTAGACTGCCCCTCCTAAACAACCAGCAACTGTTTTTCTTCCTCAAAGTGCAGTTTCCCTCTGGCACAACCAAAAATAAACACCAACCAGGCTCCTGCCCGAGGAGGAGGCGGGGAGGAAGACAGGCCCCGGGGCGCCCACCGCACGCATGTGAGAGCTGGCAGGTCACCTGCCAAGCATGAATCTGTGAAGCAAGCAGCCTTGCAGGCAGAGAAACCTCTCCCGTCGCACGCTGCCAGCACAGAGGCGCTGACTGTTGAGGTGGCGCTCTGTTTATTTCCCCAACTGCCTCCTCTCAGGTTCCGTCCTAACTGCTGGACTCACTGCCGCGTGGGCCTGAACACATTTCCTTGGCAAATTGTCCTCGGTGGAAGTTTTTTCTTCTCGATGTGGTGAGTCAGAGCT